AACACGATAACAGAAAACAATAACGTGAACTAACAAAAGAAACGTAATAAGCGCGAGCGCAAGTGAGCACATCCGAACAAGCCAAAGAGTGGTAGTCGAATGCGGCAAATTCTGCCGGCCCGCTGTGCCCGTGCGGCAATTTATTTATTTGTTTAAATTTTAGTAGCTACTTTTGTCTATAATAAGTAATATAATAACGACTCGCATATACCAATTACCAGCATAAGTAAAGATGACGTATATTTTTATTATACAGTTTTTTACGTTTTTCAATGTTAATTTATAATAAAAAAAATAAAAGCAATAGTAGCCCAGCAGTGGCACGAATAATGGGCCGATGATGATTCAAATTTAACAAGTTCGGACAATCATTGCGTAAGCGTAACCAATATTCAGTCGATAATTCATTCATTCATTCATTCATATTTATCGACTGCAATCACTAGCTACTTGAGAACGGGCAACACTTTTGCGCAACGAATTGTCAAATTTTTCCATCTTCACTAAAAACGGACTATAAGTGTTTAGTATGTTTGTTAATGTTTGTCTTTGTTTCACCATTGCATTATGACAGTGTATTGGCGAGTGGTATGTACTTCATAGCCTTCTGTAGCTGAGTCATAGCCTCGTATCACATCTTTGTTTTGTTATCAATTTAAATTTCCTTTTCTTTATTGTATTGCATGCAATGTTATATATATATAATATATACGATCATTTATCGCGTATTCAATAAAGCAATTTTGCAGGGAAATAAAATTTCTTTCAAGTTAGAACCAATTAGATAATCCGGAAACAAAAATCGTATTACATGGTGTTGTAATTATGGAAAAATAATTAAAAAATATACAATGACTTTTTCCTTTACAGCTACGGCCCCCGCCCAGAAAGAGCGACGTATTCCCTCCCCAGAGGCGTCAGAGGCCCAGATACAACTCTATCGCCACACCCAGACTTTTACTTCATGCCATCGCAGAGAAAATACGAAGGTGAAGTTGTTAGAGTTTATGTTGACTACAGAGATAAAGATAGGCGGCGAGATGAGTAGCCTTATAAGTAGGGGGAGAAGGGTGCTACAGTTATGTACTTAATAGAGTTAAGCACTGAGATAAAAGGGGTTATAATGTCCCAAACAACACTAATGGAAGTCATTTACAACTTTGACAATCACAACATAGGACATGAAATTTTGAATAAAACTATGTGAATAGGTTTCTTACCATACCGTGACATGACGAAATATCAGAACGGTTGCACGCTCTATGGTCACTGGTTATGGTTTTAAGAACTGTTAAAATCTGTCTACCCTCTTTTGTTGTCGACGACTACCCTCATCTTGAATTCTTGCGATGTCAGTTAGGTGTAAGTTTTCCGTGGTATGAAACGTAATAATTATTTACAGCAAAGATTCCCAAAGTTTTTGTCTTGTAGACCACGTTCCAATTTTGTCGGTTTAGCGTAGATTGCCTTGCCTTTTTAATTTTTTTTTTTACAAATTCGTCAACTGTTATTTGTTTTTGACAGCTGACACTTCTACTCATTTTGATAAATTTAGCTGTATAGTGAGAATTTTATAAAGAAAAATGTTAAGTTTTATACATTTCGCTGCATTTCAGGAACAGTGGCTTAATACAAAATTGTTCCTTTTTGACCTATTATTGAATTTTTTTCATAAAATGTTAAATTTTATCGTGAATAGGATACCAACCTTTTCATTGGTTGAAATAATTAATTACACGGCAACATTGGTATGGTTTACAAATTGTAAATTTGGCCCAGCAAACACGTCATGTACTTTTTTTTAAACCATCGTCCTGATCAATTAGATGATTTTAAGATAGGCCGCTATTTTAGAAAACTATTGATTTATTTAACCGAATATAATTTCTTATGAGGTAGTATTATGTAAGTATCTATGCAATTCTATCGACTATAATATGTACGTACTTTCTGTGTAATACGGATTATTCCATTTACGGAAGACGAAAATTTTAGCCATGGCCTGCCTATATAGATTACACTCTTGAGGTTCCATTAACGTCTCATGCACCTTTATTTATTTCGCTGACATGGGCTCCTTGTAGGTTGGAGTGGACATACCATACTTATTGACATACATTCAGAATTTCATGTTTTTTGCATAAATTTAAAATTATGTCCATTTGTGATAATGGGAGAGATAGGATATCAAGAGAGATTATTGGGTAGTGTTTAATAAAAATTCTAGGCGTGACAATTACTATTACTAGACTACGTTGACGAATAACGATGTACATAAAAAGAGTTATTAAAAAAGCTAAGGCGAAGTTTATAGAGCTCAAAATCATAACAGTAATAGTATAGGGGCATCATTTCTATAGTAGATGGAAAAGATTATATGTATAGAAAAGAGAGTAGACTTGTGGAGAGGGTTGTAAATAAATAAATTTCTCGAACTTTCTTTGACGAATATTAATCTGAAAATGTAAAGTTGAAGCCATGAATAGGTTTCTTGATGCTATTAGGATATGTTTTAGGTGACATTGACAGATGATGCGTAATTATAAGATAACATGAAATTAGAAATTGAATTATCGAACAAAATTATAAAAAGAGGAACATAGTAGTGCCTGAGAGACGTTGGAAATGAAAGAGGTTCTTAATATATGATGTAGATAAGAAAAGATTAGATTAGGGTGTAAGAAATGAGATAGATGAATAGGGGAGATGAGAATTATCGACATAGTGTTTTTTTATAGTACCGAACAAGGTTTTTAAATAGTAAATACGTACAAAACCGGAGTTTCGTGTTAAGTATATTAATAGAATTTTGTAATAAATAATATGACAAAGAATAACAATAATTTTAGTAATCATATTTTTGTAAATAAACCGGGAATTGGTATTATTTTTATTAATAATTATAAATATATGCAATAAAAGGTTTACGAGCTTTAAGCGTAGTTAAGCGATAACAAAAAAAATGTGGTAGATTTAAAAAAGAAGTGCCAGTGTTATAGTTATAGTAGCTTTAAAGCTATGATGTATATGAATAATATTCTTTTTAAGTTAAAAGGGAATCCGCGCCTAGCAGTGTACGTTTATCGGTTGTGTTTGTTAAACATAATTATGTAGTTTTACGGGGAACTAACACTTTCTGATACTTTGTAGTAGAAATTGTCTTCAATCTTTTCTGTATTATTTCTAGCGATTTTAACGGTTCTTAGAAAAATAATTTGAAGCCCTTTTTGAAGAAAATGCAGGTATTTTTTTCTTTTATTGTTCATGTAACAAGCGTCGATTATTTTCAGTGTTCTAGAATATAAATGACACTTAGATGATGATTTTTAACGTTTACGAATGTGGAATTCAGTAACGGGAAATAAGAGAAAAAGCTGACACAAGATTTGACTTTCACACGAGTGAATAAAAAATAAAATTGTTTCGTAAAAGAACAAGTCCTTATCCTTACCCATTTTATCTCAATGAAATAGCTGCATTTTCAAAAAGGCATATTGTAAGGGACGCTCACAGCTCACACAAAAAACAAATTCTGTAATACCTAAATAGTATGCTTTTGGCTTTTCACTAATGTTCTAAAATGACACCAGCTTGCTTCTAATTGTAGTTTGATTGGCTTTGGATGCTCTGATCGTCCTCCAGGCTGTAAGCTTATATATATACCGCAATTGATGCTAGGGTTCTGCCACATCGCAATATAACGTCTATTGTTTAAAAACAATCTCTACAATGTTGGCAATTGACAGGCCATTGTCAGTCGACAGCAATTATCGAATAATTGTTATTTTGTCTCATAAACAATTATTAAGTCATGCAAATAAAATGAATACTTTCTTCCAATTTCTTTTCTCTTCTCTTTTTTGAAATGTAAATAAAATTGTTAGTGGATAAAACTCTTGCCGCGTGAAGCCAGAAAAAAGAAAAAATAGAAAATCAATAATGTCTTTCCTAAGGCTTCGCATTTAAGTTAAAATACTGAAGAAAAATTAAAATCTAATCAGTATGGCTCATCGGACCTCAACCTGTCCCGAACAAAAAAACAGTTACTACTATTTTTTTAATAGACTTTAGTACAGAACGAGGTCAACATTACCTCAGATTACGCAAAGTGAGAGTTAATAAAGGATTGTACATTATTTTTAAACACGTGAGAAAACTTTAAAAAACATCTGAAAGTTTAATTATCGAAGTTAAGAGAGTTATGTTTTAAAGAAAATGGTTTCCTTTATTATCCCATTGCATCCTCCTTCAGTAAAAATAATGAAATTCTGAATTCTATTATTTGTTTGAGACTTATCACCTCTGAAAAGACCTAAGCTTTCATATTTGTATCATAAGCATAAATAAGATGTGTATCGTTGACCCTAATTTTTGTATTGTATAATTATGAATACTGACTAAAATGACAAAATAATTCGAATAAATATGAAAAAAGATATAATTTATTATTTATTTCTGCAAAAAATTATTTATTTTATCTGATAGATCTTTAAAAAAACGAAGAAAAGGTAACTATTATTCTTGTATATTAAGGTGGTGGCAATTGTAAATTAAAGATGCCTGTACACTGCTTAACCTTTTGTTGATTTATATACAAGTTTATTTTAACCATTAGGAAGATCGTAACATGTTTAGGCAATCACTAATAATGCATGGGTCAAAAATTATTGCTTTTGGTGTGTTATGCGTATTATTATACAATATTTTATTATTTCCTTCCGCTTGTTTCGCAAAGTATACATAATATGTACTCGTAATAAATTATTTTCTATTATGTACGACAATACGACATAATGTCATTCTTTTAAAAGTTGTCTAGTGAATAAGGCACTATTAAAGGCTGACAAGATTAATACGGTAGTGAGGGCACAATTTTGCGAAATTTAACTGCCTCGTGCAGGTATCGGGTTAGGTTGTGGGGAGGGGTGAAGAATTTGTATGGACTACATTTATTTCTCTTGTGAGTTAGAGTGTAATTTGTGATGGTCTATGCGTGTGTCCATGGCACCGTTTCCCAAGTGCGGGGATATGAGTGTGTGCGTTATTTTATTTCTTTTTTTGTGACCTTTTGAAATGTTAACATATATCTTCTCAGCCTTGAAGCTGTTGTATGAAACGCTTCTTTTCCAAAGGTGATGGTATAATTTTGTATACTTGTAATAAGTTTTAATTTAAAATGCGTTGCATTTCATTTACAGATTTTTGAAAGGGGCAACGGAGTCTTCAGACTGTATTCAGTTACCAACAATAAAAAACAATCTTACACGCACACCGAACAAATGTACCTTTTAAATTATAAATGCACGTTATTATTTTTTTGTATAATTTAATTTTTATTTTTCAAACCAGATCTAGTCTCGTGTCACAGTTTTAAAAAATAAGTTATTTTTCACTTCTTATTTTATGACATAAATGTATAATTACAATACTTTTTATGCGATTATGCTTCGGCTAGAAAACTACAAGCATGTTGAATACGGGCTCTTCCCTGCGTAACTTAATTTTGTGTATTATTTAAGCTGATATAGTGACCAATAGTAATAAATAATAAAACTACAATTTAGGGCCATTCAACGCTAGAGTGAATAGGCATTTTTACACAAACGCACATCATCGTCGGTCCCATAGTCAGGTGCAAGCGCGCGTCTCTTAAAAAAAAATTTGGGTCTGATGGAACTTTTTAAAGTGCCAGGCGATCACATTACCTGGTCTCAAACTAGTGAATTTCCTGTACTACCAGAGGAACAAAATTCGTTTCGTTTTGGTCCCACCGGGAATTGTCACGGGACTTTCATAACTGGCGTTCACAGCGCTAACCGCTGGGCTAATTTATTCCAATGCGGTAAACAAATAGACAGTGCCCTCCAGTGTTATCAATACGAAATGGTTGAGGCATAATCACAATTTATGAAACACATATGTATCTATGCTAAAATATCGAGTTAAATGTAAAATGTAAATAAATATTTTTGTAACATATATACACTATATCTATCGCTGTATATTTTGGCAGAATATAGAATAAAACATAATTTTAATATACGTTTACTTAAGACATTTTTTAAATCATTGAAGGAAATATGTTCATTTTTACGCGAAAACATGTTTTTGTGTATCAATTTTAGATACAATAATAAATGTTCAATATACATTATTGAGAAAACAAATATTTTTGTATATTTCAGAATCCGACAAGAATTTATTGTTTCACTTAAGTGTTAGACTAAACATTCCAAATAGTTATTTTTTAATATAGTTTTTAAGTTATATAAATTATAATAATTAATGTATACAAAGAAGTGTAAAATAGACAGAAAGTTATAAAAGTGTAAACTTAGGGCAAACTTGTAAACTTTCGTAGATATCGGTGTTTTCTTGCATGATATTTTTATACAGAGGTTGTGTGTATAACTTTATTTTCAAAGTCTACACAACATGTGTTGAAGTGCCGTTTAGATATTATCCTTACTCCAGTAGACAGCGCAAAACCTTTTTTTAATATAGTATTCTATAGATGTAAATAAGTAGAATGTGCGCGTATTGATTTCAATAATTAACTATTATCAATCTATACAAGGTGACAGCTAAATAATAATATATAATAAAGGTATAATTTCTTGAACAATTGATATTCTAGCTGCGACGGATTTCGAATTAATGTACGAACGTTTTATGAGTTCCTGGACAATTCGAAAAACGAACCTGGAATATTATGTATTTGAAACATTTTGAAACGACAGTTCAGCTATTATCTCAGTACGTCAGACGATGTTGTAAAACGTCAAAGGCCACAATTTATGGCCACGCAGCGTCACAGTGACGTCATAATTCGTGATCCCACAAAAACAGAATCCACGTGTGTTGCGTGCGTAACAGAAAGACTATTCTATCTTTTTTAACAAAATTGTAGGGCGCTTTTAAATTAGACGTTTGTAGAAGTGCTTCAGTAATTTTAGTTCACTAATTGTGACTGCAAATGTTTCTATAAGCATTTAATTTGAAGGTAACATTGACAGATTTTATTGTACCGCCAAATTGGCATACATCTGTAATTCATATTAGTTGAAAGAGTTTTTTTTATGTTTTTAAACAAATCCAGACCTAAGACTATATGAATAAATACAGTAATAATAAATAAAAGTGTTTTATTTTACTAATTTGTTTATTTATTTCCATTTCATTATACATATATTGCATTGTCCGTTAAGCCCGACTATCACAATAAGTACCTAGTAATTGCTACCATTATATATATTTAATATGGACTACAATAAAATGTCATCGCATTGTAGGCGTAAATATTACAATCTCTTGTTCTTATTCTAGGTAAACAAAAACTGCCATTACATTATATCAACAAACCTAAGAAATACCTGTAAAACCTTTTACCTGCATGTCACCAGTTCACCCGTGATAAAGTTTTAAAAGGAACTAAGGCAGCCACATCGAAAAACGTCAAATGAATAAGTCCATTCCATGAAATTCATCAACATTAAATTGTCACTAGCAACATCATCCATATCGAAGATAATGTGGTGATGTTTTTTTATTACCCAATGGCTCCCACATCTATAGTTTAAAAATTACAATACACTTTTTATTCACAAAATTACGTTTTCAATGGTTTCCACCATGTCAGATCACTATACGTCATAATCATATAGAATATTGTTACGCGATAATCGTGGTTGCACATCACTTCCTTATTCCCTTTTCGTCAAGTTTGGTACAGAGCACTTAAAAATGTCAAACAGATCATTATAATCTGTTTGGCTTCCCGATTAAATTCAGTATGTAACCACTGCAATATAGATGAATAAGTTGTATATAAACAAAGCGTTGATAATTATTTATATATAATACATAGGGTAGTAATCTAAATATAAAAATCAGATAATAAATCGCTATAATTGACATAATTATTTTCACGTTCATATTGTTACTAGTACCTATATACAATTTACAACAATAATAGCTTTGGTTGAGTTAAAACTAAATTCTTTGACTTGACAATTCATATATAACACGTTAACCAATATTTAATATATATATATAAGCCTATAAAAGTATTAGCAATACAAGCTATGTACATAATTATGTATAGTAATATGATTAGTGGCAATTAAAATTCAAAGCGAGATTATAGACTCGACGTAGAACGACCCACGGTCAACTATTCGACATAAGACTACCAATGAAAACAAATTCAGCAAAAATATACTACTACTATAATATATTTATCTACACACATATCATAAACTCTCTATAATGTGTTCAAAAACAGCAAATTACGACCAGCTTAGAGGTAAACTGTTTTGTTAGAACAAATTTCTTATCTGTGATAATTTTATTATTGCTTAAAATTAACATCAAATTCGATTTCACTATTACATTCAAATTTCGAACATCTCTAAAAAACTAAACAATTTGTTTGAAGTTTTATTCGAAATGAAATGTCAATAGCAAACAATGTTGACAAATCTCACACGTTACTCGATATCGAAGGATATAATAGTTGGGGCCGACTCTAGATTGTCTATGAATTAAAAAAAATGCGTGAGAAATAAGTTTTTTTGCATTATTTTACTAATTACTGCTAATAGCTCTGATCAGTGCCGTAATGCCGGTCATAACATTCGTTTCTTGAACACATCAGTCGAGAGCTTATAATATGTGTATAGATAAAGCAGTGTATGTAACTGTACATAATTAGGCATTAAAACACTCGCATTCGAATGTCTCTCATTATGTAACAGCCACATAAACTACTATTATGAACTTGTTTATTTTTATCACTACGGTGATCAGCTGAAATGTGGTCGAACCTTTTTGTATCCTGCTTACATCAGTACGACGTGGCTAAGTGTATTGTCCTTTCTTATTTTATATTATATTATATTATAAGCAAGATATATTTACAAATTAGACCTTGTACCTTTGACGTGTTTGCTTCGGAATTTAAATACGTCCTGAAAAAAAAAAAGTTTGTTTAACATATTTTTGTCATTATATTATATGTTATATTTAATGGCTGAGAGGTGAAGACGAAAAATGAAATAGTTTACTTGTATACCATGACATAATTTTTTTATTAAAAGAAATGGAACTTTCCGTCGTCGAGGATTAGGCTTGGCTTGCACGTTTGAACTTACTACTTTCCTACGAGTGATGGGCGATAGTTACTAAACATAATCAAAACAATTCGATTATTGATATTAATTACTTACTAATAACATCAGTAATTACTAAATTACTAACTATATTCGATTATTTTTCAGTAATAACGACTAAATCGAAAATCGAATGTAGGATAGTGCAGATATCGATTTGTTCGCTATTTTTTTAGTAACAATCCCCATTGCTACGTCCTACCAAACACATTTAAAAAGTGTCAGACAGTACAACAAAAACGGAAAAGTTTAAGTGTAAATAAATAACAGCTATAATATAGTAGTTTATGTGACTGTTACATAATGAAAGGCATTCAAATACGAGTATAATACGAACATCACACTGCTTTATCTATACAGATATTATAAGCTCTCTATGATGTGTTCAGAAACCGCATGTTACGATTGGCGAAATGGTGGCAAATAAAAACTTCTCACGCATGTCACACAACCGTAGTTTTTATTTAATTCATAGACAACTAGAGTCGGCCCAACTATCTTATCGTTCGATATCAAGTAACGTGTGAAATTTGTCAAAATTATTTGCTATTGACATTTCATTTCGAATAAAACTTCATTCTCGACTGATACTAGAATTGAGGTCGAATCAAATTGTTTTGTTTTTCCCAGATGTTCGAAATTTGTATGTAATATTAAAATCGAATTTGATGTTATTAATATGCAATGATAACTTTTCCACAGATAAGAAATTTTTTCTAACAAAACAGTAGATCTTTATGCTGGTCGTAATTTGCGGTTTTTAAATACATCATAGAAGGTTTATGATATTATGTGTAGATAAAATAAATAACACCTTATATCAAAATGTAATTTTTCCCCACCTCTCAAGCTAACCCAACAACTATCGATAACGTTTCAGCCTCACTAAACCAGTGTGGCCAATGTCAAATAATTTTTCCATTTGTCAGGACATTCTTGCAGAGCTATACTGTACATGAAACAAAATATTATCGAAAATGGTGGTATTCAGAAGATACGATTTGAAAAAAAACCTGATTTAATCTTATTGCGAAGAATGGGATTACTTTTACATAATATTTAGTTATCCTCTGATAAATGAGAATATAAATGTATTGGTTTTCTTCGCGTTTTCTCAATTTCACAATTTTTGAGTTACGACATTATTCGGTTTTATATGAGTGAGTATAAAGGTCGTATTCTCATTCCATCGCGTCTTCACCCTAGTAGCACGTTAAGCCGAGTCACCGGAGGTGAAGTGGGGAAAACAGTTTTGCTAGACAAGATGGTTTAGGAATTTACTATTAAATAACGGTTTAAAAAAATATACGATACACCTAAGAATGTTGTCTAAAGACTCTGATAATTTGTTACACGATAGGATGTACTTCACCCGATCATTTATAAAATCCTGAAAACAGGCTAAAATAAAAATCTAAAATGAATTATTTAAGAATAAAACATCTAACTTTGCACACAATTTTTATATGGACATATTTCTCTTTAAGCGATACAGAGAACCTGTTAAATATTGGTTTTCAACTGAAGCTCTATAGTTATTAAGTTCACATTTATCCCAAAACTTGAAAATTGTCTAGCGGTTTAACGACAACCGCGCCTTTCGCTGCACCGTCATTGGCCATCGGGCGCTTGTCAACGTCGGATCTGTGTCAAATTTTCTTCGCCTGTTCTTATTTAATCATACTCTAATTTTTAATAGTGAAACTCGTACGCACCTGCATGGTGGCGTTGCTTAAGCCCAGCTTATTGGCCGTGGCCACGATCTCTTCGGCGATGGGCGCCTGCACCGACCCGGCCACGTCCACGTAGTAGCACTCGCCGTTCGCATAGTGGCACGAGATCGACTTGCGGTGTCTCTGCGAACGCAGGCAATCCCACAGCTCAACGAATATTTATATATTAGGCCCACCCACATGACTACACTATTACTATGTACTATTTAATAACGTATTATATGATAAAGACACTAACAATTGTAATATCAAAAATAAAAAAATAACTAAGGAAGAAATGTTTCTTAGGTAGCACAAAATAATTTTCAGACACTAAATAATAAACGAAAATATTCGCATGTTTGGAGCATACATGTGAGCTACGGGGGAAATCCTTATGTGCTCAGGTCAGGTCTTTCTTTGCAGCGAAGAATATTTCATTCAAAATGTATAACATTTATTTATTGAATATATTTGAGCCAAACATAAATCGGGAAATAAAATCCCTGGCTTATTTTGTGCACAACTGTAGTTTTTAGTTTGTCGAACCCAAAATTCTGCCGCATCCATGAGTCTGTCAATAACAAATGTACCGAGTCACGAATCTGTCGAATCCTGAATTTGTCCTATACCGAACAAGCGGTCGGGACATTTACAAAGAATAGAAGAGGATCGAGCTGGTAAAAGAGCGTATTTGGGGCATCGTCTAGTGGGGCGTCCGAGATATATCCGCTGACCTGAGGGCGCTGAATTTGTCCGAATGGTCGGAACTGGCACAAGACCATAGACGTACTTTGGTGCCGGAGGTAGCGATGCAAACGATACATCGATTTTTTCAAACATTTGATATATCGTTCATAAATATCGATGTTTTCACATCGATGATGAAACCCGAAACATCGTTAATACATTGCTCATCATGAGCGATATTTTATGAACGATGTTTTATCATTGCGCCATCTTCCGTCCCGTCCTTGATCTACAGCTACACACATAAACAGATACTTCTTTCTGTCATAAGCGCAGATTTTTTTGTTTTGCGTTTCGTTCGCTCTGCAACACAAATTACGCGCGCAAAAACTTTCGATAATAATATAACTTTGATTATTATACTTTTTTGTTCAATTTCTGTTAAAAAATAGTATTTATTCGATATAATCATGTGACTGTAAAATTGTAACGTTTGCGATTATAAACTGACGGAGTTCACAATTTTACGGATACAATAGTGACAAAAATCGTTCATAAACTTCGATGTTATGTTACACTTTTAAAAATATCGATGTTCTAATATGGACGTTTTTAATGAGCGATGTTGCATCCCTAGCCAGAAACCAAGATTCGGGTCGCTGGGCCAGCGAAGTAAGTATAATCTGTTTTTTGAAGATGGAGTAAAATGACGTTTGCAGGGTTGCCAGTTTTTATAAAGTTTTACTAATTGCGTTATTGTATTTTTCATTCTCTTTTTGGCAATTGATATATTATAACAATTTTTAGTCATACACATTTTAACAACGACAGGCGGATTTTATTATTTATTATATCAATATATATGAAATTCAAATGAAAAATTTTAAAATATGCCTCCTATTCGTATTTTTAAACACGTACTGCTAAATTTAGTGTATGTGCGAACTTTCAAAAATCATAAATTCAAATGAACCTGTGCAGTTGAAGGAATAATGGGCCGATGATAATTTAGATCGCCATTTCCAGAGCCCAAAAAATGGTGATGGCCTCTCTCATGGCCTCATTGGGTGGGCCGGAAAAATGGAGCAAAGTAGTCACCAATTGGTACCCACGTGATGTAAAACGTAATAAAGGGCGTCAACATCAAAGATCGCAGGATGATAAGGTAGCTTGATAGAGCACCCTGGAAAGATCTGGAGGAGGCCTATGCCAACAGGCACGCTGAGTTAAGACATATAATGTAAAAATTTTAAATGCAACGTAAAATTGTAATATTTATAACTTAGCTTAAAAGACTTAATAAATAACAAAAGAGATTTAGACAAAACAAGTTCGGCTATTTATTCATGCTTGATATCATAAAAAAACCTCGATTGTCTTACCTCAGTAACGTTGGGCCCCGATCCGTGGACCAAAAGCGGGTGGAACAAGACGGTGTCTCCAGGACTCATGTCCAGGTGCACCCTCTTGTTCATTGGCGCCGCCGAATCTTCTTCCAAGATGCCGTGGTACAGGGGTTTGTTTTGATCCTTGAATTTTAATTTAAACATAACAAAATTAATTGTCAGGTTTTCGCAATTGTTACACATAGGAAAATAAACTATATTTTCGGGATCGAACACTCAGAAAAAACACTCAGAAAAAATTCCTTCGATCCAATCGGATGTATTAATAATTATAACAAACTAGTGGAGTAATTTCACAAAAAATAATTGAATATCAATTCAATAAAAATTTAATTAATACAGTGAATAGCGACATCTCTCGCCAGGACTGGTAGCTGTAAAGGTACTAACTGGGTACTAATCTGTCAAAGATTTCTCATAGATGGCGCTACGACTAAAAAGTCGTTGAAAAACCAAGTACAAAGACACGACGCAAGCATATAGAAAAATTCGTGAGGTCCGTTGGTTCGTTCCGTTGCTTAGTTGGTATAGCGTCTGGCACGGTATGCAAGAAGACGTCGGTTCGTATCCGACCAGATCGAAGGAATTTTTTCTGAGTGTTTTTTCTGAGTGTTCGATCTTTGTATTAATAATTATAACAAACTAGTGGAGTAATTTCACAAAAAATAATTGAATATCAATTCAATAAAAATTTAATTATATTTTCGGGTTTAAAAAGCAAATGTTTTTTGGTAACATCAAAGTCAAATAATCTTTATTATTAAACCGTCATATTGATTAAATTCTACTGCTCATTCGTAAGCCAGATTCCCCTGAAAAGAATCAGGAAGAATGAGAATAATGAGATTATACTAAAAGTTCATACAGCTTCTGCGTACTAGGACGAGAAAAACCCATTTAGCCCTTGCAGGTATTCTCGATCTAAGACGTTTGAAATAAATATTGTAATGACAAATGTATACAGGGTGTAATCGTAGTGTGCCCAGGCGATTATTCCATAAATATAAGAGATATCAAAAAGTTCGAAACCTTTATCGAAAGTACGGTAACTAATGAGTAAATCGACATCAAAAACTTTTTGAAAATAAAACTGGAAACATCCAAAATTTTAACATTAAACGCTCCCATACATTTAATATGACATTCGTAGAAAGGCTTTAGTTTTCCTACTCTAAGAGGTACCAATAAGTTAACAGATAACAAACCTGCTATAAATAAAGTAATAAAAGTATGTTTTAATTGAATAAAAATAGAATGGCATAGTCAATTATTTGGTCAAGTGCGAGTTGTTCATAAAACGAATAAAATTGATCAATTTTTTTAGTGCTGATCGACTCACTTTTATGTAAGGGTCATTTTCATTGTAGAGAACGAAAAAAATCGGGATAGCAGAAGTGGGTCAAATATTTATTTATTTTTAAAAAGTTTTCGATGTCGATTTATTCTTTAGGTAACGTACTTTCGATATCAGTTTAAAGCTTTTTGATATCTCTTATATTTATGGAATAATCGCTAGGGTATAATTAACGATTACACCCCGTATATACAAAGAGCAACCCCTAGAGCTTCTTGCTCATTTTTCTCAGGGGAATCTGCCTTGTGAATGAGCAGTAGAGTTTAATCAATATGACCATTTGAAGTGTAATTTATTTATGAAATAAAGAAGACTATGATTTAGATTTAGATTTATTTTATTATCTTGTAAACTTTACATTATTATACACAATATATTGTATTACAAGAATCGTTACAAATAGTAATAAATGTTACATTTCAATAAATTACAAATATCCAGTACAAGTTTTGTACTACGTAATTTTAACATAGTCAATGTAGTTATGTGAAATAATGTAGGAACATATTAAATAAAATAATAATAATTATATCAATATAATGATTGAATGCATAAAGTTTATGTAATTTATTCATTTCTGTAAAATAATATCTATACCTAATAATCTATAAATTACAACATATATTACAAGACCATGTCCCTATATTCTTCAGTGGAATAATACGCATTATCCAACAAAAAGTCCTTCAGTCGACGATCAAATGTTTCATCATTAGGCTCATTTTTTAAGTCAACGGGTAGGTGCTCATAATAGGCCGGGCCGATTACGCGCGGATTTTTTTCAGTGAGTGCTAACCGTCGCGGTACGACCCTCAGTCGTCCTGTGGAGCGGGTGTTATAACGGCTTTCATACCTTTCAAAGTTGTGTAAGTTTTTTCGTATGAATGTGATTATTCCATATAAATACAACGAATACATGGTCATTATCCTGTGTCTCACGAATAAGTCCCTACAAGAGACTCTTCGTGTTACTCCGGCAAGTATCCTCATTGCTCGTTTCTGAATAATGAATACCCTGTCAGAATCAGTGGAGTCACCCCATAGAATGGTACCATACGACATTATGGAGTGGAAATATGCAAAATATGTTTGTCGTAGTATGGAATCTGTAACGACAGGTTTTAATTTTTTTTAGTGCATAAGTCGCACTACTTTGTCTTTGGTATAAAATGTTTTCTGACGGAAATACTTGCAGTTGTAGTATAGTTAAATAAATACAAATTAGTAAATTCATTGCTTAGTCTTGATTTTGATTACTTTAGACTTACCTTGACATTGCCATGAGCGTAAAGTTTGTTTAGCTTATGTGACCCTGGTACGACGTATAGGGATCCGTTCTTCAGATGGACATGGTCCACTGCTGTCCACGCGGCCACGATTTTATGCGCGGGACGAAATGGGAAGTAGTACAGATCCTGCAAATGACAATACGACATAAGAGAAAATTATAACTTTCATTTCATCATGCATATCGTCAGTTTAAAGGTAAAACCACATAAGTCACATTTTAAACAAAAAGTCTTTAATTTATACAGCTATGGTACAAAAATCATTATCTTTCTGCACGTGAAACTCAATAACAAAAAAGCTATAAACTTAATAAGAGTTTTATCTTCAGAAAAATGGTGGTTTTCTTACAACAGGTACATAATTTAGAGACTTTCTGTGGAAACTGTCACTTATGTGGTTTTATCTTTAAGCAGACGATGCATTTTTTCCTGACGTCAAAAGTCAATATCAGTGCAAGGTTCAAATTTAAATCGCCATTTAAATAGTAAATTGTTACATACCACACCATAGTCATAAAAATAATAATGTGCCAAACAGTCACATCATAAAGTTGATCTTAAATTAGCAGCGATATAAAATCTGGTAATGTAGATAAGTTCGTTTTTCGAATTGGTAAGACATATTTTAAAGTGTTTTAAAATGACTAGTTAATAAATATTTATAAATAATAATCTCAGAACAGAGTACTAAAAAACCGATCTCAAAAGTCATTCATCCCTTAATTTGCCACCCTTAGAGATGGAATATTTTCTTCCAATTTAAATGGGACCACAACTGAGGTACCCTCTTTCCAACCTTACCTACGTACCTTACGTACCTTTTTTGAAGTCGTTTAAAAATACCAAATGAAAGTAATTTGAAATAGGTAAGGATTTGACTGATTAGTAATATAAATGATTAATATAAATTACTCTCATTTATGATACACAAAAACTTGTAAGGTTTTGACCGACAGTTCATTGAAACATCGAGTCAACCGAAGAACAGAAGCCGATGTGATTATACGACGAAAAGAGGATAAATACATAATCTCGTTATTGAAAATTCGGCCCTAGGTGTTTTCAGAATTTTATGTATTATTTCGTTTCGGAAATATAAAATCGATCAAAGGTCGATCTGATATCCACAGCTCAGAGCAGCGCACGAAAAGTACAATGTCGTGCGAATAAGCAGTCTTGCACATAGGTCTTTGTTCTACGAATGAGACGATATATAATTAAAAAGTACTCATTGTTTTTTTCGTAAAACCAACGTTTACCAACCGTCAATGGTAAAACCTAGCATGCACCAAATTGTAATGGTAAAAGCCCGAAACAATAGTCAAGTCTTTTATAAATACTTACTTAAGTAAAACCTAAGATTAACCAATATACGGACTTCTACAGTAACAAATATACAAACATAACCGTTTCACTGTTTGCAATAGTCTATGCATATATGTAAACAAAAAGTTATTTGTTATGCAAGGCTGCAGAGTTGTTGTTCGACGCGAGTGTTTGTGCCTGACCTGACCTGAGCAGTTCCATATCATTCTACATAAGTTTTGTTTATAGTGCCCCTCCCTATCTATCAATCTTTTATTTGATTGATTATTGAAATTATTTCAGTTCTTCGACGAATTAAAATAATTTAATAAACGCAATTATCTATGAGAAAGAAAGCCTTTCCGAGCTAGTGAGGTGAAAAAATTATTTAATAAGATTCATGTATTTAAAGCTAAGTTTTTATGTAGAACAAATTTATACTTATCTTTATGGATGAATGTACGGAAGTGCCTATCAAAATGAATTCCAAGAGTGCAACAAAATTTTATGAATGTTTACCTGATGCGGAGGATGGCGACCGGTGCCTGGTGGTTTGTTAATGAACATGGTGTGCATCGCTGTGAGGCTAACATCTTCTATCTAGAAGCCATGGATAGAAATAAATTATTGTTAATAGACAATACTACACACTGAGTTCTTAGGGTTTAGAGATATTTATATCTATATAAGAAATTAACTATTTTTGGGATCTAAATCAATTATGTTAGTTTTTTCGAACAAACCAACGGTCCTTTACAGGTATAAAGTTATCCATCAATTATGTCTAGCAGTAGAGCTCCTTGTGAAGTCCTTGAGTTCGTCCAGGGAAGTACACCATCTTACCTATTTCTGCAGCCAAGCGGTAATGTCAGCATCACTGTGTTCCGGTTTCGAAGGGTAAGAGTGCTGGTGAAATTACAGGCACATGGGACTTGTCGATTTATGTCTCAAGGTGACGGAAGCTGTGGCAGTGCCCTTCAGATCTTTGCGATTTAGTGGCACCGCAACTGTTATGGACACGCGTGTAGCTTACCATCAGGAGCATGATTTATTCGTCCCGTCACTTGATATCATAAAAAAAAGTCTAACATTAAAGAATATTCCAGTTTATTTATTTATTATATATTAGTTTAACAATATGAATTTTTACTTAATTTAATTTATTAATTATGAAAAAATTAGAAATAAATTAAAACATTTCAATAAATTGTATGAAATCATATGTCTGCTTGGGATTTTTTCAATAGATTTAGATTTATTTATTATCTTGTAAACTTTACATTATTATATACAATATATTATATTACAAGAATCGTTACAAATAGTAATAAATGTTACATTTCAAAAAATTACAAATATCCAGTACAAGTTTTGTACTACGTAATTTTAACATAGTCAATGTAGTTATGCGAAATAATATAGGAACATATTAAATAATATAATAATAATTATGTCAATATGATGATTGTATGCATTAAGTTTATGTAATTTATTCATTTCTGTAAAATAATACTTATACCTAATAATCTATAAATTACAACATAATATACCTATTACAAGACCATGTCTCTATATTCTTCCTACAAAGTCTTTCAGTGGACGATCAAATGTAGAGATAGAGAGAAATAGAGGAAATATTGGTGGTACGGAGAAACCACGTTTTCATTATCTTATTTATAAACATAGAGCACATAAAAATTGCAACGAATGTAAAAATACAGCAGGAGTTTGGATTACGATAGTATTTTGACAAAAATACCTTTTTGGTGTCGCCAGGAATAAGCTGTGATACAACGTGCAGAAGGCGGGGGTTCTCGATATATTGGCTGAACACGTCATCGAAGAGAATGTCTTGAATCTGAAAAAAAAAAACAGAATGCAATATTTTATTTTTATAGTTCCAGAGTTTCGAAACTTAAATAATAACAAATTAGTAACTTACGTCACTAATTTGTTATTATTATTGATGCAAATTGAATAAACACAAAGAATTCACACGGTCAGACTATGGAACGCACTTTTTTATTACTGTTCATAGTAAATCCTCAGTTGTCTTTAAAATGAGAGTCAAGCAGTACTATTTATCCACTGTTCCATCCATTTTATAGATATTATAATATGAAATATGTATTTATCTAATGTAGTAATTGAGAATTTAGCAATTGTATCTGAGTACCATGAAAAAGTTCCATTTTTGGACAAGAGAAAAAGACCATCAAGACTAAGAATATTGCATAGCAATCGTACATTTAAACTTCCAAATTATAACAATGTATAAGGTAGGAGAATATGGTCATTTGTACTTCCAGATGTATTAAACAGGGTACCAAAGAACTTGGTACAAATATTACAATCAACAAATAAAAGCATCTGTATCAGATTGATTAGAATTTAAATGAATTTATCTTATTCAAATGTTGTGCATAGCTGTTATAAGGAATGCAAATTTAGTTACTGTTTTTATGTATCTACCTGTATAGTCTACTTATTAGTTTGTGCTCTGTAGCTGTGCCAAATAAATAAAATAAAATAAAATAAAATAAAATTAGACAACACTTGGCTAGGGAGTAATATTACATAAGAACTGTGTAAGTAAATATACTAGATTTTGAAATAAGTAATAATGTCAAGATGTCGCTGTGGTGGACTTTACTAAGGTGCATAATTTTACAACATAAAAATTATAGCTTTAGTAACGTGAAATAACTTTTGTAATCTTTCGAAATAAACAGTTTAAATTTGAAATTATTTTTAATATTTCTGCTATTGTTTTTTGTTTATCATTTATTTTCTATTATTATTTTATTACATAATTTCATTTTGTTTTGTTGCGCACGTAAACTCTTTATTGTAATTAATGTGGCCTGTACAGTTTAGTCTGCCGATGCCGCAAGAAATTTCTTTTAGAAATAAGCAGTACCAGTTTTACTAAATGCGATTTGTGTTTTCCTGGGCAATAAATAATTAAATAAATAAACAATTAACTAAAGAGAAATTCTTTGGGATCAAACCAGCGACTGTTGCCTTAACGTGGCTAGCATACTTTACAAACTTTCTTTACGTTGATTATTTATTTATTAGTGACAGTAGTAACTTATTAAGGCTTATGCCCACAAAACTGCTGACATTACTGCTTGGCGGCAGAAATAGGTAAGATGGCAGTACTTCCCTGGAACTCTTTCACAAGGAGGTCTACTGCTACAAACAAAGTATATTTTTAAATATCGGGAAGCCTGGATTTGTTGCAAATTCAAAATGCTTTTCCAGTTGGTGTACTACGTTTATTTATTCCAAGTGTATGTTGGCAACAAGAATCTTGGTGTCCTAAAGTAACGTGGGAGCCCTTAGAATTAATCACCTTATTGACAGCATCCTCTCCCTTAGCCCCCGCGCCGACAAGAGAAGGTTCCTTTATGAATCTGATACTCCCACGGTCTACTATACCCTTGCATATTTGCACGAAGCGCTGTCTGCAAACATAGGTTAAATAAATTAAATAAATAACGCACTAGGGAAACCCTGTGTCGCGGGTGCCATGGACACACACATAGACAACCACAAATTACACCCAAACTCACGAGAAAAATAATTGTAGGCCATACAAATATTTCTCCCGGCCCGGGAATCGAACCTGGGACCTCTGCGTGGCAGTCCGGCATGGTAACCATTCATGTCAAGCAGTGGTAATAATTGTTATAAGTGATAATATTGGTAGATTAAGTACTCACTTATAGCTGTACAGTGAAGTGAAATCGATTAGTTCCTTGATGACCAGATACCCATTGTCAGCATAGAACTGTAGTTGCTCTGGCGAGACAGTGTATGTTTGAGGAAGTTCAGCAGATACCCTGAAGAATACAACAATGTAATTAGTACTTATTTTAATTACTTATAATTTTCTTTCTATAATACCAGGTGACGGGATCAACAAGACGTGCTTGGTGATAAGCGACTCGCCGATCCATAACAGTTGCAGTGCCACTCAGAGCTTTAAATTGCAAAGAACTTATGGCCACTGACATAAGTTCACAAGTCCCATTACCCTTCTAAACCGGAATGTTACAACATTACAATGCTTAAATTACTGCTTGGCCGCAGAGATAGATAAGGTTAAGTACTTGCCTGGATGAACTCTTTCACAGGGCACGCTACTGCTACTAAAATACCTAGTTCAATATGGTGTTTATTACAGTAATAAGAGAAGAAGGTAGTGTAGATCTTGAATCCAAGCGAGTGACTTAGCTATCCAATCTAAGAAGGTAGCCTGATTTTAAATTTAATGTAAGATGAAGGTAGCGTAGATCTAGAATGAGCGAGCGGGGTTGCTTTTTGTAAATATATATTTCAACACATTTATCATTTACATTATTTATTTCAAACATTTTGAGCCTATCTGCAAGAGCTAAACGAGATACCTGAGTATGCAGAAGCAGTATAATAAATAAAATAACTGTCTCCTTGGCCGAACATGTAAGAATGTTAAATTCTTTCCAATTATTTTATACAAGGCCTCCAATCCACATTGGAACAACTTCATTGTGGTTTACAGACATAATCTTGGTGTAGATATGATAATTGTACAACTAGCTAGTGTCCGCAACTCTATGTTGAGGCACCAATTTTGCATGTGGAGCGTAGATATTGGACTGAAAAACTCATATATGCAATATCTCCCAACTTTACATAATTATCTACCATTATTGAGCATAAGTATTGACCTATTTTTACAGTTTTAAAAGTTAGCTTACCTATCCATTTGTCTGTCTGTCACTGGCATTTGTCGCAGTAATTATAGGTAATTATGATGTAAACCTTGAAACTTGTACTGCCTGTCTTATTCACAGTATTACATTATATTGACTGCCTTTAATTACCTAAGTCTAAAATTGAAGTTAAGCAACAAGTTTCATTAAGTTAATAAGTAGGTAGGTATACTTACAGCTTCGGCATCACTTTTAAAGACCTTGAAGACATTGTTTCGCAACAAAAAAATACTTTTAGACCAATAATAAAGGATTTGAAAATTTGTTGTATTTTAATTTATATGTAGGTATATAATAAATTTTAAATAACAATGTAATAAAAATTCAATGGCTATCTTTAAACTGTTCTTTATTCACAACATTAATAGCATCAACTAATTAATATTATCTTTGAACTACCAATGATAAAAATTATTTACAGAGGCACATTAATAATATTTTTATTATCAAACTACTAGGGTGTTAATAAATAAATTGTAGTACACAAAGTACTTACTTTTGTATACTAGGTAATATCCCTACGTAAGTTTGTGATGTATTTAGTACCTGTTATACGATATCAAGGTTTATGTTATTTGAGTTTGAACCAGTGTTTCGTCTTAATTTAATACTTGTCACTTCAAAAAAAAGGAAAGGAGATGGAGGTAACAAGTTTAGGTATTATGTTCAGTCCCTCAAAAATGTCATCATCTGTTAAAAGTGCAATAAGTCAAAGTCAAATAATCATTTATTCCATAGGTAAAATTTTTACACTTGAAAACATAATTTTTTAAGCTACTGCTCGTTCACTATGCTGACCTCCCTGAGAAGAACAAACAAGAAACTCTAGGATTGCTCTTTTCAAATAAACTTAAATGGTATAGAATACATTTTGAATCATGTTTGTGTGGAATCTAGACTCACGTTGTCTTTCCATACGTCTTTATCTAACACGTTGTCTACAATTTTGTAATATGACTTTTCAATTAAAATACTTTTAATGTAAGTTTTAAACTTAGGAAATGGTTAACTTAATACACGCTCCGGAATATTATTGTAAAAACGTATACAGTTCCCCATAAAAGAATCGTTTACCTTAGTTAAACGAAAACGTGATACCATGAGTTTGGACTTAGTTCAAAGGTTAATATTATGGTATCCTCATTCTTAACGAAGTTATGTATATTTTTACGGGCAAACAACATATTTGAGTAAATGTACTGTGATGCCACAGTCATGATACCAGTCTCCCTAAACTTTTCTCTGAGAGAAATCCGAGAACCTAAACAGTACACACAACGAAACGAATAAAAAATAAAAAACCAAAAAGAAACATAGAACTGGTCTCCAAATTAATTTCTCAAAGTTGTACTTTACGTAGTTTACACAGCTTTCTAATTTGTATTCTTTTAAGCTAGACTAGAAAGTGACGTTTACGAGTACAAAAGTAAAATCAAGAAGAAAAAAATACACTGTAATAAAGCATTTTTGTTATTTTTATATGATACGGTTGTATTAGTATAAGTATGTAATTTAGACATCTAGTTCTATTGGTAGGTTATTATTACATCTTTTTTCATTTCGCGCTACTCATAAATATAATACCTACTAATACTAGCGATTGTTTGCCCATCTCTAGTGAAAGTCGCTGCCAAACTGACAGCTGTTATGTTTCGATACACGTTACAAATACTTATGTTCGGATACTCATGCAAATATTTTTTACAAAGAGCAATATGACCGGGCTCATTGCGATATTACAGGGAGACCAAGGACCTCTGAAACTAAAAAAAGCTAACAGAGTGAGACAGATTTATATTCGTTACTGAATTCAAATAACTTGTAGTAAACTACAAAATAATAAACAAGACCACATAGGCTGCTAACAGAATAAATGAGACTGCTTATTAACTGTAGAAGTCGATCTCGGCTGCAGGAAGTTTGTTTCGACTACATGCAGTTAATGTGTGAAATTGTTATCAACTTCATGCAGTCGAGTTCTCGAATGACGACTTCAGTCAGGATAACGAATGCGGCCAATCAGTTGGCCAGGACGACAACCGTTTATAGTTGGAGTATCGCGGAAAAGAAGGCAGTGAATTTAGAACGCTTGATGCCATTGTTATAGTAAACTCAAAAATGTTAAAATGAACGAATAAATCAGAGCATCTCACGAATTCAGGTATTGAAATTAAAATTTTAATATGAATGTTTGTGTAGGATACATCATATTTTTTTCGTGGCTTGTCTGAACCTTCAAAATGTCTAGAATTCCTTTCCTATATCCAATTCCTTTATTTATTTGGGTTAGATAGTAACAGCGTTGATCTCGCGTACACTTTGTATTTGAACCGTCTCATCGTAAGTAGTTGAATTTAAATCTACGTGTAAGGGAGATGAATCGTTGCTCGTACATATAAATCATTAGCTTCATTGTTTCCTTAAAAGCTACCGACAAACAAATAAAAAACTCGAGTTTGCCGTAACTTGTAATTATGCTAACATTTTTGCATACCTACCGAATGTTAAGTAGATAAACAGAACTATGTTGTCATAATCGTGTGTATTCTCGAACTTATCTAACAATGAGTCAAAAATTTAACCTTCTATTTTTTTTCATGTTACATAAGGTTCAATTTATATCGATAGATATTGATTTCTGTATGCATATACTTTAAAAAAAATCTCTATTGCCTAATGACTCAAAATAATCTATCCTTTAAAGGAGTTACTACACTTATCGACACGGAATTGAATTAAAGCTAGGCATTTCAACGCGAGCCTACATTCTATGAGGTCGGGGCGGGGGTTGCCCCTAGCTTCCAGCAATCAGCGCATTGTAAATTAATATAAATAAAATAAGAACAGGCGGAGAAAATTTGATACTGGGGGTCTACTCTCGATCTCCGTCCGAAACAATTATTGCCAAATAAGCAATAGTTGACCAAATGAAAAGACGCGTGATGCGAATGAAGCTTCATTCTTGATACTTGTCTTTTAATTTTGTCGAATATTACTTATTTGACAGTAATTGTTTCGGATGGATGTCGGACGGAGATCGAGAGTAGACCTCCAGATCCGACGTCGACAAGCGCCAGATGGCGACTGACAGGGGAATGGACGACGCGGCGTGTCGTTAAACCGCTGGGCAAATTTTGACACAAATGTGAATTTAATAGGGTTTACCAAACCAAAATTTAGCAAGTTCTCTGAAATACTTAGAGGGAAATATCTACATGTAAAAGTGCAAAGGTAGATAGATATTCTTAAATATTTCGTTTTAGAAAGTCTAATTTAACCTGATTTCAGGATTGTATTTGATCGGACAAAGTACATCCTGTCGTGTAACACATTAGCACATTCTTTAGGTGATATCCTGAGGTATGACTTATATTTTTTGTAAGACCGTTGTTTAATAGTAAATACCTAAAACATTTGGTCTAGCAAAACAGTATTTCCGCTTCTCCTCTGGTGATTCGTCTTAAACCGGTCCGAAAAAGTTGTGCGTCATGCATATAAGGCTTTTTCTGACGTGTTCAAGCTGATTCCGCGTTAACAAGTGTAGTGACACCCTAAAACGTGAACACTAGAGAAAGGAGGGAGGAGAAAAGGAGGGATGATGTAGAAATATAAATGAAATACAGTTGTAGTGAAAAAATAAACGTACATAAAGTAGACTATTTATTTTTAATTCCTTAGTGAAGATCTTAGTGGAAGTTTATGAACACTATTAAGCGCAGGAAGATGTCGCAATTCGGCCACGTCATGAAGAACAATAAGTACTAATCCAGGGAAAAATCGCAGGAAAACGAAGTGTTGGTGGAAGCGGCACTCCTGTGGTGGTGGTGGTTAATGAATTTGAGGGAATACCATCTCGCTCTTTAGAGCGGTTATCAGAAAAGGAACCCAAAGAAGAAGATTTGAAAGCTAAGACTATTTAGAGGACGATGTAGAAATTGAACACTGTGAAATAGTCAAGCTGCATTGAATCTGCGTAATGGACTATGGCCTTAGCCAACTCCACATTATCGTCTCTGGCCAGCAGATTAAGCTCCGCTGCATACGCAGTCCGCAGAATACGTGAGCTTACCGATGTTAGTACTGCTAGACTAGTTTACTTTAGTTACTTCCATAGTATAATGTCCTACGGGATTCTCATGTGGGGTAAAGCGGCAGATATTCAAGCCATATTTGTATTGCAAAAACGAGCGATTCGTTCTGTGTACCGTCTAGGCTCTCGGGTATCTCTCAGAGAAAAGTTTAAGGAGACTGGTATCATGACTGTGGCATCACAGTACATTTACTCAAATATTTTATATGCCCGTAAAAATATACATAATTTCAATAAGAAAGAAGATATCCATAATATTAACCTTAGAGCTAAGTCCAAACTCATGGTACCACGATTTCGTTTAACCAAGGTAAACAACTCTTTTATGGGGAACTGTATACGTTTTTACAATAAGATTCCGGAGCATATATTAGGTTTATCATTTCCTAAGTTTAAAAACTACATTAAAAATATTTTGATCGAAAAATCATATTACAAAATTGAAAACTACGTGTTAGATAAAGATGTATGGAAAGACGACATGGCTTCAGAATCCACACAAATTTGATTCAAAGTGTATTCCATAGCATTTAAGTTTATTTGAAAAGAGCAATCCCTAGAGTTTCTTGCTCGTTCTTCTCAGGGAGGTCAGCGTAGTGAACGAGCAGTAGCTTAAGCTTAAATGTGACGTTTTCAAGTGTAAATTTATTTTACCTATGGAATAAATAATCTTTGACTTTGACTTTGACTTTGACTTAGTGCGTTAGCAGTGGTACGTATACAATACAAACATAAAGTTGTGAATTCGGAATATGCTCTTATAAAATGACTGGTAGGTTTTGTTTACGTGCGACACAAGAACGGGCTTAGTGGTGAACCTTGAGGAACGCCTTTTTATTTCTTTTCAATCTTAATAAAGGCTAGGTTTAGAATAAGCACCAGTAAACAAGGCTATTTCCGTTTCCTTATCCACAATCATGAATAAAAATGGTTTATTTGCTACAAATTGTTCAATTCTCACAGTTGCACTTCGTCCTTCGAATAATGCTGCCGATGCCGCACTGGCTTCACTACCTTCCTCATTGACCTCTATATTAGCCTTTTGGAAAATATTAGAAATGTACAGAGAATAATCTGAAATATCTGCTAATTTAGCTTTAACATTATCAAACAAAGTCTTCAAGCCCATATCTGTTAATAATTCCTTCAAATTATTCAAATCTGTGCTAATTTTGAATCTTGGTACTTGTACCATTACATGCTGAGGTCCTTGTTGTTTGGATAGAATGAAAATAGAACTTAGACTTATATTTTTAAGTTTCTCAATCACAGAAGTAATAGTTTTATGTTGGTCCGGTAGAATAAACAGCATTGAAAATCTACCATCGACACCGTATGGCAGCTCTAATACCGTTGCTCCAATTTGTCTTATAGAAACCATATTCACTGTCTGTGTACTAAACATGAGATTTACGTCTCCAAGTTGGTTACCGTTTTCATCGTAAAACGCGCTTGTTTCGGTGTCAGCTGACGAAAATTTGGTCATCCAACTGCCTTTGAAATATAAGGCGTCTACAAGAACTAAGTAAACTCCTTCCAAGTCATTTGGTGTGATCATTTCATCTATAGTTCCATGTGTAGCTTGGTTTATAAATTCGTTAATAGTATTGGCCGTTTCAGCAAAGTTATCGAATTGCAAGGTTTCTATATTACATACTTGAGTTCTTTTCACTCTAGCTTTGAAAACTGGATTTAATGGGAATCTGTCATCGAGAAATAGACTTGAACTTCTTTCAAACACCGTACCTTCACTTGTAGCCGTCATTTGTTTAACGATTTCAAAGAATTTGTTATTAAAACATTGGTGGGGATGTAATCTTAGCACATCAATTATTTCATCCAAAGTTTCATCAGTTGCTCCTAAAGATACAGCGGAAAGCAATGTCCAAGGTGATAGAGCTGACGTCACAAAATGGTTATCTGTTTCCGTAGCTATTCTTTGCACCAGATCCGTTGTGAATTCATACACTGACCGCCGAAAGTAGGGTTTTGCATTTTGAACTGTACACTGTGAAAATATTCCTGGTATTACTACCGAAAGTACCACCAGTATTAAAGCCATGACTGTACTTGGCAATTGATTGGCGACTACTGATATAGTCATTTCAAATGGTTGAAAATAAGAGCGAGTTATCACAATTTGACCCGAAGATAATAAATTTAACAATAATTGGTATTTAGAGGTCTATTCAAATGGAACTTATTAATAAAAATCTTAAAACTTAATATCGTACCTTATTGAATCGTATTCGTGAATTAAAAAAGATAAAAAAGGTCAAAAGTTAGAACAAAAATACGATACGTTTTACGAAACAATAAGTAGTTCCGCTACGAATAGAAGTTCGTAATGTAACATCAATCGTCATGTAACAATTACCTGATTAAAATTTTAAAGATTCTTTAGTAAACTTTGCAGTCTTCAAAAAGTTGCTCTTACTCATTTATGAATGTTGTCAACGTGCAAAATCGCAAACGTCTCCGCCATTTCTCAGTAACAGGTCAAAGACTCCACATTCACCTTGGCATACTTCTTTGCGTTCTTTTAGTGCAATTGTTTATTATGATTTTGAGTAGAGATGCGCTGAGTACTTATTTGCTACTCGGTACTCGGTGTACTCGGCCGTTTTTTACTACTCGTATTAATCGGTACTTGGTACTTGAATAACTCGGTTCACGAGAAGAGTACTCGGTTAAAATAAAGCATTACAGCTATAGAAATAATAAAGTAACACCAACAATACATTTAAAATAATCAAAAGAGATTTATTACTACAAATTCTAGACAACTGTAACAATTTGTAGCAATTTAGTAATTTAAAAAGAAAGTTTACATTACTAATATTTAAAATTTATCGAGTTCTTAGGTTTTCGCGATTGTTGCACATAGGAAATGAAACCATTTTTCCGCATTTGAATCGCGTATATTTGTTATTTCAAACAAACCGACGTTTCGGGTCCTTTACAGGTCCCATGGTCATGGTTGACTGACGTGGTACAGTCATCAACCAGTTACGTCTAATATTAATGCAAACCACCCTATTTTTTTCACTATAGTTACAAAAGTTATTAATTAAATACCTTATTTTTAATTTTACAAAGAAACATTCCAATTTACGCTACATTACGTTTTATAAATTATTTTATGAATGAATGAATTTTTAAATTAGGATGTTTTTTTAATTTCAATGGCCTCTCGCAGCATCTTTTGTAGAACGGACTTCTTTTGCAATGATCTGGGGTTTGTCAAACTTCATTGAATGTGTAGGTTTATCTATGACATGCTCGCAGACTGCAGACTTGTTTACGCGACGGTGTTTGACATCAGCTATATGTTCTTTGACGCGGGTACAAATACTTCTCTTCGTTTGTCCAATATAAGAGAGACTGCACTCACAGTCAAGCTTCTAAACTCCTGCATCCCGTAAGGGGATATTACATTTCACGGGTCTCAAGAACTGAGAAATCTTCCTCAGGGGCTTGAAATAGGTTTTGATAGATGCACGCCTGAGGACTCTTTCGATCTTGTCTATAACATCTCTCACGTAAGGTAAAATGTTTAATTTAAAATTTAACAAAGACAAGTTATGATGTAGGAATACAAGACTTTCTGCGCGTTCAGGTAATAGTCTGTTCCTATTTTCTTCATACACATTACCCGCTTCGGAAAATAGTTGCTCGCTTTAAACAGTGCTAGCAAGTGCACATAAAAACACTCGTGTTAACTGTGCCAGTTTTGGATATCTTGTTTTATGTCCTTTCCAATTACCATTGGAAAAACTCTGCTCTCGCGACAAAATACTTTCATTGACATATCGGTCTAATTCTAGAGCAATGGGACTTTTGGATCATCGCGTTTCAGTTGTAATGAACCGAGTAACTTGGCCAAGTACTCGGCTCGGTAAATGTTAAACCGAGTAATATTCGGTACTCGGTTGTTCGGTAAAACTTGTACTCGGCGCATCTCTAATTTTGAGCTTTGAGATTTTATAAATATCTTTAATTTTAGTATTAAATAACTTACTCATAGGCTACAGCTAAATTTATGAAACTGATTGAAAACAAAGATGAGTTCAACATTACATTGTCTAGATATTTCTTTTAAAATTAGTTCCGGCATAAATCACGATTCCAGTAGATATCAATGACCAACATGCATAAAGATTATCATTATGTTGCTGATATTAGGAGTCGGCACAGTATATCTTCGTCGTCCACTCGTCTCTATCATACGACATTTTGTTGTTCTTTCACCACTATCCGTCTATCTGATCTTCCACTGACCTTTGAAATAGGTTATTTCGTCGTCCTTCTAGTCATATCTTTAGGGTCTGTGTAAAAAGTCTTCGTTGTCCATTCGTCCCTATTACACGTCACCTCGTTGTTTTCTGTCTTCATATACATTAATTTTTTTAAGCAATCCTTGTTTTCTGATCTTCTACTGTCATTTGGAACAGGTTATTTCGTCTTCCTCCTGTTCATATCTCAGTCTTTGGGGTCTGCGTAAAATTTCTTCGTGATCCATTCTTCTCCATCACACATCATCGGGTCACGTCGTCGTTGTTCATTCTTTTTTCTTTCTTTCAGCCTTTGGGGTCTGCGTAAAATTTCTTCGTGGTCCATTCGTCGCCATCGCACGTCATCGTGTCACGTCATTACCGTCATGTCGTCGTTGTTCACTTTTGTTTCTTTCTAAGCTTTTAAATTACCGTTTTGTATCGTTCGAGTAATGTGACTCATCCCTTTGCAATATCAGTCTGTCTATCAATAATTACAAATATGAATGGTCGATGAGCACGGAAAGCTCTTGGAAAAGATGTTTGTGCAAACCGTATCGTCTCAGTTTGCATCATGTTCAAATCTAGGGAGTTATATAGCACTATTTTTGTTCGCAATTGTGGTATAATCGTGTTCTGTTGCGATAGTCTATTGAACCCGTTCCCATGTTCTCGCAAACATTTTTCATTAAAAATGACTCATTTTCATTCAATACCTAGTAGTTTTTTGGCTTAGGTTAAACACAGTCGAAAACATTTGTAAAATAAATATACATATACATATTTACAATCTTATAGTATTTTATTTTATGAAAATGTTAAAATATGACACAAAAAGAAAGTTGATTAAAATAATAAACAACTACGGAACGTTGTAAAACTTTATTGCTTCAATTCACAAATGCCTGTTTGTGACTTATAAATAAACTGATACGGAAGTACGTTTGTTTATGTTGGTGGCATCGAAGACACTACTGTTAACATGTAGCCACTAAATGTCACACCTAAGCTTTGGTTCCTGAATAACATTTTTATGGTCGCAAATAAAAATAATAAATATTTATTAGTCGATTCCACAGACAAGAATTTGTATTGTTTATTAAACATACTTAAGTATTCAATATTAGTTTATTTGATACTAGCTGCTGTCCGTGACTTCGTCTGCATAAATAAATAATAAATAATAAATAAATAACGCACGCACTCAACATAGCCCCGCACTAGGGAAACCCTGTGTCGCGGGTGCCATGGACACACACATACACAACCACAAATTACACCCAAACTCACGAGAGAAATAATTGTAGGCCATACAACTATTTCTCAGGGCCTATGCATCCCCTCATCACTGCGACCATTGACTGATCTATTGTGATCACCACTAATTACAGTGCAGAGGCAAGGCCGAAAGCATTGAAAAACTGAAGGACTTTCCTGGCTCCGACAGATTTAATGTCCTCTGCTTGTGGCATGTGCCTTCCCAGTACGGAACTTCGTACTTCCATCAGGGGGTAGCATTGGGTGAGTAGATGCATAGGAGTTTCATCCTCCGTGTGGCAGAATGTACATTCTCTATTTTCTCTCCGCCCAATATTTGACATGTGCTTGTTTAAGCCACAATACCCTGTTAAGGTTCTAGTGAGCATTCTTATGCCATTCCTGTCCAATGACAGAGCTTCTCTATATTTCAGCCTGAAAGATAGAAGAGAGTCGTCCTATGTTCAGCTTGTAGCTGAGCCTGGGTCTCACACCGTGTATACCACAGCCTACGTTGGGTCCCATCTTAGACCCGTCGGTATACCATACAAGGCTGCCGTCCTTCCAGGTGAGACTGTTAGTTTCCCAGTCCTCCCTGGTTGGAAATTCTACCTGGTAGAGATTTTTAAAGTTTTGTTTGGGAAGCATTACATCAGAAATCATTCCCAGAACAGAGTGTTCCAGAATTGAGTCTTGGGCTGATCTTAATGTCTGTACATGAAAACCTGTACATGCTGGTAATGGTCTCCCTCTGTATGAATAAATGCAGAGGAGTCAGGTTCAGCAATGCATTTAGGGCTACCCCAGATGTGGTGGACATGGCTTCCGTTGCAAGCAGGCACGCGACACGCTGTGGACTGCCCAATGTGACTGGTGAGTTATACGATTTAAACGAGCTTATAGCTCTGTTCCAGTCTTCGTTGCGAGGTGAATGTAGCGTCGTTGTTGGATTAGTAGGCGTGTCGCACAAGGCCCAAGGCTAAATGTAGTGGGGTGGCAGACGTTTCCTGCTCCCAGATAAAATTTTATGTGTTTATGATCCGACATCGACGTCTCGTCACTAACATGTCAGCCGGCTATAAGTCCGGCTAGGCTAGCCGGACTTATATATTGCTGGGGACCCAAAATAGAGGCCTCCTAATTTGGGTCCCCAGCAGGCTGATGGCCATCTGCACCGACTCACATCCCTTCTTGGGAATGTAGGTGGTGGCGGTGGTGGGCTTCGGAAGCTTGCTCTCCTTAATCAAGGACAGCGGGGCTTCCGGCCACGGCTTTAAATTGCCGATCTTTCCCACAAGCCAGTCTGCACCTGCTTGGTCCTTTCAGGTCACAAGAATCCAGCCTAGCTTGTGAGAGAGGCCCAGGAACTTCGGTCCCTCGCCATGTAGTACTCGCTATAGTGTGGACCAGGAACAGCTCCATCAGCTCCATTTGCTCCTCTGACATGGATTCCGAATTCCGGATACCCACGCGCAGGGAGCTCGCCATTTCGCTGAAAGTAGGTCTGTTCCTGCTATCAGCTGGCGCCATGGCCCTGGGAGCCTTTCCGACATGCTCCCGTGGCGACGCCTCCACTGACCGTTCACGCTTCTGCGCTTTTGGTTTTAAAGGTGGTTTGGACACCGGAACATCACTCCAGGGCTTTTCAGATATAGGCAGAGCTTCTGCGTAGCTCATACCTGTTCTCATCAGGCCCTGCAGTCTCTTCTGGCGAGACCCGCTCAGCTGAATGCGCGGCTGAGCGCTGGGTTCCGACACTAGGGGATCCGAAGGATCCGCTTGGTTCGTATCCATAGCCGTGACCGAAGTGACGTCGTTATTACTGGTTGGACTATCCATCTCAGCAATCGTTTTCTCCAAGGAGGAAATTAAAGCGTAAATATTTATGTTTTCTTTCTCCATACACGTCCCACGAGAAGCTAGGGAATTAAAAGGTCACAGCCAGCAGAGCCCCGCTTGCCGGCTGAAGGGTATAAAGTTCCCCCGAGGTGTCCTGATATCGAGGTTGCACCGTTAGCAGCTGGGCTCCCCCCCCAGACACGCATGCTTAGGCACGGTACGTTTGACACCCTTAGGCTGGGTGACGACACTTTTGCAAACGCCTAGCAAATGCTCGAACAAAGTCCAAGCATTTACTAGGAGTTGCCCAGGATGTACCGGCTCATGTCTTCCCTTCCTATGCAAGTAGATTACATAGAAATGGAAGCCACTCGCACGCGTGGAGGTACGTCGTCCTAACATCCCTTGCGTACTATACTATTTTCATAGTTTTATTGGTTCTGTATACAAAATTTCATCCATTATTTCACACCCTGTAATGTTTATTTTCTTTCTCTATACCAAAATACATCCAAATTGGTTCAATGATTTAGGCGTTAAAACGCAACAGACAGAGTTACTTTCGCGTTTACAATTTTAGTTTGGATGAAATACACATATACGCTTATCATCACGAGATGAACAAGTTGCACAACTTGTTCATCTCGTGATGATAAGCGACACGCCTGCCCATATCAGCTGCAATGCCATCATAGACCAAATAAATACTAGTGCCACTCAGACACTGTTAGACATAAGTGTATGAAGGCGTGGTTCGAATAAAGCCGGATCGATGGAATTTTTCTTGATATTTGTTTGTAATTATAACAAACTAGCGGAGTAATTTCACAAAAAAGATTTAATAAATTTAATATTAAATGTACATATTTTTGAATACAGAATGTAAAAAGCACACATATTAGGGGTTAAAGTATGAAATTGCCGTTTTATTGCAATAGGTTCTTTGAATTTTCATAGAATCTTCATGGTTTGAGGTTTTCGAATGAAACTTTTTTCAAATGGTTTCTGTGATTTTTTTTTTTTTTAATTTGAAACATTTGAATATCGACTTTCAATTGTTTTTGTTATTCAATTTAGACAAGAAAGATGGATACTGCGAAAATTCGAGTGATTTTTGAATACGAGTTCCGACGCGGAACTAACGCGGCAGAAACAGCCCGCAATATCAATGCTGCGTTTGGAGAGGGGTCTACTAATGAACGCACCGTGCGATTTTGGTTTAAACGCTTTCGTGATGGAAATTTCGACTTAAAGAACGAGGCACGAGGAAGACCGCCCACACGGGTGAATAACGATGAATTAAGAGAGATAGTGGAAGCCGATCCTAGTCAAACTACCCAAGAATTAGCGGCATGGTTTAACGTTACCTTACCCACAATATTGACTCACTTGCGTCAAATCAATAAAATAAAAAAATACGAAAAATGGGTGCCTCATGATTTGAGTGATCTGCAGAAAGAAACGCGTGTTGAAACTTGTGTTGCCTTGTTGAACCGGTACAGAAATGAAGGAATATTGGATCGAATTGTAACATGTGATGAAAAGTGGATTCTTTATGATAACCGGAACAGAAAAATGCAATGGCTGACCCCAGGTCAAATGCCACAACAGTGTCCTAAAGCAAAACTTACCAATAAAAAGGTAATGGTAACTGTTTGGTGGTCTCAGCATGGTGTTATTCACTATAGTTTTCTCCGATCTGGTCAAGCAATAACGGCAGATGTCTATTGTGCCGAACTCCGAACCATGTTGACAAAACTAGCAGTAAAACAGCCCCGACTCATGAATCGATCTTCACCATTATTGCTCCACGACAACGCGAGACCTCACACAGCACGAGAAACCATTTTGACCCTTCAGGAACTGCAGTTAGAAACCATTCGTCATCCTCCGTATTCACCAGACCTTGCTCCAACGGACTACAATTTTTTTCGTGATTTGGACAATTATCTACGTGACAAGAAGTTTTCTTCCCAGGAGGCAGTACAAAATGCTTTCACACAGTTTGTGCAGTCTAGATCGTCGGAGTTCTATCGCAAAGGCATTAATAACCTTCCCATTAGATGGCAGCAATTTATAGATAATAATGGCAACTATTTTGATTAAATAAATTTGTTAAAAATTTAAAAAATAAACAATTTAGATTTTCAGTACAAATCGGCAATTTCATACTTTAACCCCTATTATTTTAATACGATGACTAGTAACGATATTTTCTCTTGAAACTACATGCCAGAAACACATAAATGTGTACAAGTCAAAGTCAAAGTCAGATAAACATTTAAGCCATAGGTAAAATTTTTACACTTGAAAACGTCATTTTTTAAGCTACTGCTCGTTTACTACGCTGACCTCCCTGAGAAGAACGAGCAAGAAGCTCTAATGATTGCTCTTTTCAAATAAACTTAAATGCTATAGAATACATTTTGATACATATTTTTGAATCTGCTTGGTTTTTGAACAGACATGATCCGTAAACTAATGGGGCAATATTGAAGCACAGCAGACACCTAGTGCTGCTCTGATTTATATAATGTTAGAGCACCGAAACATTTAGCGATTCACATGTTCCTTGAATCGTAGTCGTCATCAAAATAAGCACATATTTCTGATATAGTTTTGCCACGCGAACCGAGATTTTAGGAGATTTGAGGGCGCCCGCGCGTCTCGCAGTCCACGCGCAGAAATATGATTAAATAAGGTGGGTGGAGAAAATTTTATTCAGATCCGACCTTGACAAGCGACGTTGGCGAGCGAAGCGAAGCGAAGTATGGGGCATCGGGCTGCGCGACGTGTCGTTAAATCGCTGGCTGGGCAATTTTCAAGTTTAGGATAAATGCGAATTTACTAACTACAGGGTTTCATTTGAAAAGTAAAATTTAGCAGGCTGCTTGTAGTACATAAAGAGAAATATCTCCATATAAAAATTAAGTGCAAAGTTAGATATTTAATTCTTACATAATTCGATTTAGTCGTTTATTTTACTTGCGTTCGGGATTTTATATGATCGCGTAAAGTACATCCTGTCATGTACCAAACTAGCACATTTTTTAGACAATATCCTTAGGTTTATTGTAAATGTTTTGTAAGACCTTAAGTTATTTAATCGTAAATAAATAAAACATTGATACTACACAGTTTTTCTCCGTTTCTCCTCCGGTGACACGCCTAGGAGCGGTTACACACGGTGACTTTTATCAACGACGCAAACGCGATGCAGTCGCTAATCGTCTACCTTTACTGCTGCATCGATGCAAACGCGCGATTACATCGTTACGTTTGGGATTTATTTATAGGCGATTGCATCGCTGCTCAAGGTCGTCGTGTGTAGCTAACTCTAAGATTTGATAGTTATGTAAGTATTTTATCAAAAATAGCTTAAAAACAGAACAACAATGGATACGGTAACGATTCGTTCTCTGGGTACCGACTCTCTTTTACGTACTTTTCCATTGACCGTTACTTTTGTCGGTGGAGCACCTTCCAGTCATCTCTCTTACAAGCCAGCTCCTTGACACTGGCCTTTTCCTTTATTTGGTCTATGTGCAAAATGGTCTTAAAGAAGTTGTCGTGTCGTATCAAGTATCCAATCATTTTCCCGCGTCTATACTCTGTAGTATTCAGAATCGTTCTTTTCTCGTTTACCTTTTTCAATATTTCTTCATTGGTTTTCTTTTCTATTCGACATATGCTCTTCATCCTCCTCCAGCACCACATCTCAAAAGCTTCTAATCTTTCCCTATCTCTTTGTGTCAGTGTCCATGTTTCATATCCATAAAGTGCAATACTCCAAATGTACACTCTAATGTTTCGTGTTCTTGCATGACAAGCTGCGTGATCAGTACGTACTATAGAGATGGCAAATAAGTTTCAAGGACTTGTTCTTTGTTTCTTCGTCGTAATAGAGAACCACGCTAATTACTTGATCTCACATTACGATTTTCTCTGTATTACGAGTAGCAGAGCAACGAAATTAAAAAAAACGAGACAAGGACCAATTTATAAAAGTTCGATTCAACTCTAATAAGAGATACTGGGTTTGATCATTTGAGAGTTGTTAAAATTACTGGTTATTAATAAACTTCAGTTATCAGTAGGTGAACTACGTCTCGACATCTTTATTCAATTCAATTCAATTCAATTCATTTATTCATTCGTTATTACAGGTACATGATATAGATGGTAATAATAATTTTATGGAATCTCTGCAATAAGCCAAAGTGGCATATTAAGTCGTAACCAGTCAAGCTCAGGGTCTTGGTCACATGATATCATTCGAGATGCCGATGATCATAGTCTATTAATAATTTGCAATGGTTGCTTAGCAATATCTGTTACCTAATGGTGAAGGAACCTTGATTAGAAAACCACCACCTTAAGAGTTTTTTCCACCACCCGCTGTTTGCTTTTTCTTGTCAACCAGTGGAATAAAAATGGAAATAAATTAATTTGCTACTCCGCGAAATCAGTGAAGGTTAAATCGTGCAAAATAGCTGCGCGTGTGTTGAATATTTTCTCATGCAGTTAATTATTCCACCCTCATAAAATTAATAAAATAAATAACATAAGCGCAAGAGCTACCGTCACAAACCACCATCAAAAATATACCCGACACTTAGAAAGGCGACGACTATATCAAGGTGAAGTTGATCAGTTGATAGAATTGACATCTCTTTGCACTATAACAAAACTACTTTAGGTTTAACGGACAATATTACTTGTCCGTTATGCAGGTTATTATACAACTTCTGCGTACTTGGATGACAAAAATCCGTGGTAGTACCCGTTTAGCTCATGGAGGTAGTCTCGATCTCTGATGTTTCAAATAAAAAAAAATATATTGTAAATGTTGAATGTGTACAAATGCTATTTACAAAGAGCAACCCCTAGAGTTTCTTGCTCATTCTTCTCGGGGGAATCTGCCTTACGAATGAGCGGTAGAGTTTAACCATTGTGACGATTTCAAGTGTAATAATGCTTACCTATGAAATAAAGATTAT